CTGGCGCCAGGAGCATGCTCATGTTCGCACGCCAAAAACCATCCTGAAATTTCGGTGTGCCAAGCCGGCCCAAGACAACACGAATTGAGTTGGAAAGGGTCGGAGGCTCGACAATCTTTGGGACAAAACCATCAAAAGAAGCGTTTGGTGCAGGTACCAAGTAATCCCGTTTGTATTGAAAACTGGCAGTGTTTGTAAGCTCCAAGCCGGTTCCAAGCCAATCATAGCCACTCAAAGAAACATCTCGCTTCACAAAGACAGCAACCTGGCCATGAAGTTTGCCCGGACCTGTGGTTTTCGTACGACTCAGCCTACAACTGAATCCTCTCTTTGACAACTTCATGGTGTCTGGTAACATGTTCTGAATGTCATCCAGTCTCATTGCTGTCCAGCATGCAATCAAAGCCACCCATGCAATGAAACGAAAATACATGTCCTGATCCAAATCCAAAACGAAAAGTTCCAGTGAAAGCAACATGGTTGTTGTGTAAGGTTTCGCACTCCGGGGTGGTCTTGACTCAAGCTCAAGTTCCAACTTCCAACTTGCCACATGGCCCAGCCAAATGGGATCATTTGACAACCTCTTGTCATCCGGTACCTTTCCCAACTGCTCCAAGACAGTAAATGCAGCATGAAATTCACTCACGCAAGAAAAACTGCAACCATCTTGAATCCTCTCTTCTACATATGCAATCAAAGGTGTCAAGGTCTTGGGCCACGTCGTGCCTGACAGCGCCACGAGCCAATCTCGAAACCTGTTCCAAGAACGGAGGCGGTTCCGAAGTGTCTTTGACCGCCTTGATCCAAAAATCCTGACCCAGGCTTTCCCCGGGTCCTGGAGCATCTCTAATTGGAAAACAATGGGCAGGCAGGCTTCTTTCAAAATCTCGGCTAACTGGAGTGCATACACATTGCGTTGCTCACGTTCCACATCTGCTCTCGGTGTTCCACCGGTTTCTCTCTTCCTCTTCAAGCGACGTTTCGCCAGATCTAAAACGTAAGCCGGATTGTCTCTCACAATGTCATCAAACTCTTCTTGCAAACTACGTCCAGACTGCACTCCAGGATGCCTGATAAACTCAAAACTGAGGTTGCATCTGCGTGTCTGTTCCCTCTTGGAAAAACTTCGCATGCTGTCTTTCCAAGCCATGAGGCGCCTAACGCCTTCTGCCTCCAATTCTGCGCCTCCCTCATTTCCAAACACCTCTCTTATGAGACTGCAGGCATCCTCTTCATTCTCAAATGAATAAAAGAAAATCCGTGGCTCTTTGTAGTGTTTCAAAACGTGCTCAGTGAACTTAGGTCCAAGACTATTGAGTTCCGTCCAGTCCATGGGCCATCGACTTGCGTCCCCTTCGGGATAGTTCAGCGCCCCCTATATCACCAAATTTTCTGAGCCAGATTCTCCGTCAAAAAACTAAATCGAATAAGGTGGAAACCTGAAAGCAAGATGACATCACTGTGACGGTGAAATTCCAAATAAACCGTGCAATTCAGACTGAGAAAAAATTCTCCAAAAAAGGAGGCGAAATAAACAACCGACAAAGTCAGTCGAGGGTCTCCAGACATCCATGCCAACACACCAAAGAGCGCGGGGAGAAAGACGCGACGCAGGCGCGAGCGAACCAGCAAGGGAGAAAAACCCCAGGAACGAAGACGGAAGACAAGAAGGAGGTGAGGCAAACCCCACAGCCAGCAACCCCGACCCAGGCAGCGCAGCGGGGCAAAGCCACAGCGAGGCAAGAGCCACCAACAACCCCACCACCAGCCCAGGCACGAGCACCAACGGAACAGTCAACTAGGTAAACCTAGAAAGCTAGCTTGAAAGTTCCTTCACCGTGAAAGCAACATCTGGTCGATCACGCGTGATGTACAAGCATGTGCCCACAGCCATTCTGAAAAACGTAACATCGCTTCCAACCAAGCATGGAGAGTTGTCTTCCATCTGAATTGAAGAGTCAGCTGGAGTTGTGGAAGATCTCAGCTTTCCAAACTTTTCTTCCCAAACCTTGATCAACTTCCCAATGCTGCTGCCTGGGAGTAACGCCAAACCATCTTCCACACGCAAGAGCCTTCTCTTCAAAAATGAAATTTCTGTTCCAACTCCTTCCAAAACCGAGCAACTGATTGAAAAACGCTGTTGAAGTTTCTCCTTGGACTCATTCCAAAACTTGAGGCTGCCAACATACATGATGTCGTCCACATGGATGAGGATGGCACATTGTGAGGTGCGTGCCAAGCAAGGTTGAACACTGCAAAATTCAAACTTCATGGTCTCATCCAAAAACGTACGTAGATACCAATACCAAGCGCGTGCCCCAAGTCTTTGGCCAGGAAGGTTCTTGAGCACAACCCATGTTTGACCTGCAAGCTTGATGCTGAGAGGAGTATGTTGTGGCACTTCCAGAAAAGCGTCCTTGATGTCCAGAGATGCCATCACCTGATCACTGCATGAAACTCCTCCTGCAACATCATTCAAATCACTGCATCGTTGAAGCCAAAGTAAAGGAAGCAGGTTCAAAACATGAGTGCTTGAAGCTGGAGAGTAAACATCTTGCCGTTTCTCCAGGAATGCATATTCTCGTGCCACAAGCCTGCTGCGTCGAAGCCATTTGAATGTTGGTTCCCCATCAGCTTCATCACCAAACTGCTTGAGGCGCCAATCTCTGACAAACTTTGTGCTAAGTTGATGGCTCTTTTCTGCAACGCCATCATAGTCAGCTTCACGCTGGATAACGCCCATGTTGGTGAGTCGAGCAAGTTCTGTTTCATCAGCCAAGTCGTCCAGCCACTGTGGAGGTTCTTCAGGCTTCACACTGATATCAGCATCTGACCACAACTGCAGAGGAACACCTGAAAAGACTGATGGATCATCTTGCCAGTGATCTTCATCTTCCTCATGATCTGTCATCTTGAGGTCCTGGCTGTAATCGTCCATGGTGTGAAATTCCGATCCATCATCAAACTGCACTGCACGGATCATTGCTGAATGTTGCTCACTCAACTGCATAAGCCTGGGTTTCTTTGAATCCTCCATCTTGGCCTTCTTGTGAGCCTGCTCATCAGCTGTCTCCTCCTCACCATGAGCTCTTGTTGTCGGGTGCGTTCTTGGAGTCACAGGCACATCAGTTGAGCCTGCTGCTGCTGAGCTTGAGGGTGCTATCACTGGAGGAGTCATTGGCACTTCAAAGAACGAAGGAGGTGTTGAAGGTCCAGCCATTCCCAACGCTGGATTTACCACCTCTTGAGGTTGATTGTCTCCTCCTTCCACTGGATCCTCAAAAATGCCAATGGGATTGGGATGTTGTATCACGTTTGCATCTTCCAATCCAACCTGAGGCTGTTGTTCCATTTCCTGCATAGGGTTCTGTTTGTCGTGGATGGCCGTATTGGCTGATTCATAGTCCTCACGTTGCTCCTCAAGAGCTTTCTGTCGGACTGCTTCAGCGTCCTCATCAAAGAACTTGGAAGGTTCCACATCCCCAACTGGAGGATTGAAGCCTGGAGCAATGGGTGCCTGCCTGCTTTTTGTTGGCACCACTCTTCCACCAAAGCTGCTCCTGTACTCGTATGAGGCACAGTTGAAGTTGAGGTAAAACGCCAAATGGCCTTTCCAGCAAGTATTGATTCTTCTAACAGACCTTGCCAAAATCAAGTGGGTTCCATTGTAGAGCAAGTATGAGTCCTGCGGGTCGATCTTGCCCAAAAACACCATGCGCTTCCATCGTGGATTGCCTTTTGAATGGCTCTTTTGGAAACCGAAAACTGGTTCACCAAATTGGCATATCTTTCCATTGTACTGCTTGCCACTCAAAAGCTCAAAACTTGTAACTCCACGTCCTGCTGCCACATTGAACCTGTTGATAACCCATGCCGCATGCCTCATGGCCCATGTCCACATAGGATTTGAAGTTGAAATTTCAATTCCAAGCTTTTCACCAAGAGCATGCATGAAGGATCCAGCAAGTGGTCTCACCCTGCCTATGGCATTCTCAACAAGACTGTTGCCATTATAAACTTCCATGAGGTCTCTGCTGCACATGGGCTTGGACACTCAACAACCGCCCAAGCTGGAAAGCAACAATCTCATACCACAAGCTTGGCAGAAACATGCCTCTGTGCAAGATTCATAGCACACAATGGTAAACCGGTGCAAGTACCCCTTCAGGAAGTCAAGAAGGCAAACTTCCGAGTTACAGTACCCCTTCAGGAAGTGAAGAAGGCAAACTTCCGAGTTACAGTTACAGTCCCCCTTCAGGAAGTCAAGAAGGCAAACTTCCGAGTTACAGTACCCCTTCAGGAAGTCAAGAAGGCAAACTTCCGAGTTACAGTACCCCTTCAGGAAGTGCAGAAGGCAAACTTCCGAGTTACAGTTACAGTCCCCCTTCAGGAAGTCAAGAAGGCAAACTTCCGAGTTACAGTACCCCTTCAGGAAGTGAAGAAAGGCAAACTTCCGAGTTACATTTACAGTACCGTACCCCTTAGTACTTAGTACTTAGTACCCCTTCAGAAAATCAAGAAGGCAAACTTCGGATTCCGAGCTACACAAACCCATATGCCAATGGTATAGAAAATAGAAAATGAAAACTACAAAAGCACAACGCCAATTAGACACTTCGGGCGCTATTTTGGAAACGTTAAACGCGTTGCCCAACAGAGTTCCAAACAGATTTATCGAGCGTCACCACTCTTCGGAAATTTCAGAGTGAGACTACGTTCCGCAAACATGAGATTGTACGGGCCACGCGTTTCAGAAGCAAAACTGTCTGCATGGTTTCACAAGCAAGCGCGTTAAAGGAAATTGCTCGCCTTCAAACATGTGAAAAAAAAACACATCTGAAAATGGCAGCTCACGAACTCCTTGCCAAACAAAGCATCAAACAATCCACCCTATTCAACGCACAACTCTTGTGAAACTTTTTCACCCTTTTCTCAACCCAGCGATTTTGTAAAGAAAGCATCGCGTCCAGCTGTTGCCATTCATGACCGCTGGCTGACATTCACATGAAATTGAGCAATGTGCAAGCCAGCACAGCCCCAACTTGAGGAATGCACATCGAATTGCCAATCATCTTGTGGGCTTTTGCAGGGTGCCCCTCACAAAGCTGGAGCAAGCTATCAGGAACCAAGCTCGAAACCAAAGGATGAACGCCATGTGCGCTCAACAGTTCTCCTGGCAGAAAAAACCTTTTCCCTTTCATGTTGTACAGCTTGCTGTTCCGAATGATTGTTGGCAAGACCGTGTGAGCTGAGCCAAATGGCGGAGCCTGCGCCAAGTCCACATTGATGTCCCAATCGAAGGAAATGGGGTGCTTTGACTGCAGCATTTCAACATATTGCTGTAGCCGCTGTCTGTCGCCAAAATCCATCACAGCCAGGCAGCGATAAGGCCTTCCATCCACACGTTCCGGCAAAGAGCGGCGCTCGGCTAAACCATTCATGTACTCACCCACTTCTTCCTCAGACGCCGTCAGGAAGACAGACCCCTTCAGTATCAGATTGCAAAATGCAACCTTCTGCAAAAGCTCGACCCCAAAGCGATAAGGCTTCTTCTGGGTCAACTCGTTCAATGTCACAATGCTGTATGCACGAGGTCTGTTCACCGGGATTCCTGGACGATCAACAAAAAACGGACACGGACCCCACTATAGATACTTACCCTAAATATTGGGTGGTATAAATATTGGGTAGTAAAAAATATCTAATTTGGAAGAAGTCGCAAAAACTCATCATCAAAACAAAGCAAACGATGGGCTAACAAAGCCTAGGTTCCCATATCTGTCGGGCTGAAGTTTGCAGTCTCCACAACAGCATCATCGAAAACCTCACTGAAGAACTCGGTGGCAGGCCACCTCGGGGTACATTCATTCACCACCGCATCTGGCGAACGGGAAGTCTTCTTCAAAGAAAAAGCCCAGATGAAGGATGGGATGCTGGCCTCATCTAAATATCCAAGACCTTTTCCACGAGCGCTCCATGGGGTACAAGTGTTCCCTGCAAGCTCCAACCACAGTTCAATGAGGCCATCCTGCGATGGTCCGACTTGGGGCGCCCACTCACAAAAGGCATTGCACTTGCAACACCACGCAAAAGTGCAAAAAACGCTGGAATCTAAGCCATTCAGGTAAGCCGCTGCCTCTTTGAGAAACTCTCGGCCCAAAGTGCCTTTGCTCAAGTTGGGATCCTGCTGCAAACGTTTGCGCTTTTGCTCCTGCATCTTTTTCAGCGTGGCCACAACATGCGTATCAACGCGGTGGCACAAATCCACAAACACATGTGGGGCAGACAAAACCTCTTGGCATGCGGAATCAATCTCCGTTTGAGAGTGGAGCACAACCTCAACCTTGAACAGGGACAGCCTGTTGAACGCATCTGCAACCATAGCAGCTGCAGCCTCACCAAATCCCACACCTGAGTAAGCTGTCGTCAAGTGGAGCTTGATATTTTTCTGGCTGGTGCTGAGATTCTTGAGCCTCCAATGCTGGATCACCCTCCGAACGACATCGTTGCGCCAATCAAAAAGATCCTCGAAGCTAACGGGACCATCCGGCAATTCAACCTGTTCCTTTTGCTTTCGTTTTGTACGCCCTCTAGGGCCCTGAAAAAAATCAGCCGTGAAAAACTCAGGCTCATCATCGTCACACAGCAAATCACTGCTTGGAGCGCTGCGTCGCAGCTGCTTGGAATGCCCGGGCATGACGCTGTCCCGGCGCCGGCAAAATGCCAAAAAAATGTATCACTATGACACCAAAAAAAACATATGTTCTAGAGATCTAGCCCCCTATCATTTCAAATGCTTCCGTCCAACATGATGCTGCCTTGCAATGCTTCACTTAAGACTTCAAAATTACATCTTGAACCCCGCTGGCAAATGTGGAAAAGACATGTGCCCACGCAATCACACATGAGCAACAGAGGTGAGAAGCCATTGCTTCTGATGGCACAAGCAAGCAGCCACTTGAAAAGCCCATTCGTTTTGACAAGCAGAACGCTGGCCTAGTCTGGCCAATGTCACATTAAGAACCTACTTCCAAAAGTTACAGCCCAAAATGGGCTCCGAGAAGCACCTTGATTGCCAGCTCTCAAGACTTAGTCACTTAGTCCTGCGGCGCTTGGATGCCGGATCGTCGGCGACGTTCGGCTTCTGAGCCTCTTTCGTATCCTTTTTTGCTTTCTTGTCTTTCTCCAACCGTCGAGTCTCAGAATCCTTTGCTTTGCGAGCAGCTTCAGCCTGCTTCGCTTTGCGATCAGCCTCTTCTTTCAGCTTCTTTGCTTTTTCCTCCTCCTTGACTTTGCACTCAGCCTCCTTCGCTTTGCGATCGGCCTCCTCTTGCAACCTCTGAGCTGCCTCAGCCTCCTTCGCTTTGCGATCGGCCTCCTTTTGCAACCTTTGATCTTCTTCAGCCTCCTTCGCTTTGCGATCGGCCTCCTCTTGCAACCTTTGAGCTTCTTCAGCCTCCTTCGCTTTGCGATCGGCCTCCTCTTGCAACCTCCGAGCTTTCTCAGCCTCCTTTGCCTGGCGATCAGCCTCATCTTGCAACCTCTGAGCTTCTTCAGCCTCCTTTGCCTGACGATCAGCCTCCTCTTGCAACCTCTGAGCTGCCTCAGCCTCCTTCACCTTTCTGTCAGCCTCATCTTGCAACCTCTGAGCTTCCTCAGCCTCCTTCGCTTTGCGATCGGCCTCCTCTTGCAACCTCCGAGCTTCCTCAGCCTCCTTTGCCTGGCGATCAGCCTCATCTTGCAACCTCTGAGCTTCCTCAACCTCCTTCGCTCCCCGATCGGCCTCCTCTTGCAACCTCTGAGCCTCGTCTTTCTTCTTTGCCTCATCTTCCGCCATCCTTGCAGCCTCAATTCCTGCTTCTGCCGCATCCGCCATGTCTGATTTCACTTCCAGAGGGGCTCTTCTTTGGACAGCAGGAGTCACAGGCGCTGAGTGAAGGACTTCATCGGTAACCTTCAGAAAGCTAAGGATTACTGGGTCATCCATGGCCCAGCTTTGGGAAAGCCATTTCAAATCACTTGAGATCTGCAAAGATGTGATGCAACATCCAGCTCTGAAGCCCACCCAGTGCATTTCCGACATGACCCTTTCCACAAAGATCCATCCAGGCGGAGTGTAGAGAGCTTGGCCCTGGCCAGGGATAAAAAGACAGCTCAAAAGTTTTAACTCTCGGGTGTTTCACAATCAAGAATTAAAAACCCCATATGCGCTTGCAAAAAAAGACCACCAAAGATTGCAAAAGCCCCACATTAGACAAAGATTTAACAAATCTCACGCTTAAGCCAGAACAACCCTACCTTGCCCAAAGTGCAGGAATAGAGCTTGAGCTTGGCAGCTAGAGCATCATCCATTCCAAGCAGTGCCTGCTTTGCGGCCTTGAGTGTTGGCTGGCCCAACACATCATACAAAAGCTTTTCACGCACCAAAATGACTTCTCGGGTTCCTTGAAGACCAAGACGAAGTGATCCTGTCAGGGGCGGAGAAGAACGGAGGGTAACAACTGCGTTTCCAAAAAATGCTGGGAAACCCCCTAAAGAAAACACGCATGAAACACTTCCGTTTTGACCACAGGGTCCCGACCTGCATGGCTCTTCTCGGGGCTGCAAGTTACAGTGTTCTTGCCGATGATCACAGCCATGGCTTCCAAACTCTGAGTCAAAGACTCATTGTTCTGAAGTTCGTCCGGTGTGGGACATGCCGCCGAGCAGATATAACGAAGGCGCTTGGACACAACATCAGCAATGTCACTTCCGGCTGGGAAACGACGATGCGCCCGGTCGCACTTTTGCGCTGGGCCCTGAGACGAAAACACTGTTAAGAAGTCGGTGAACATGAAGCGCTTCACGCAGTCCTCTTTCTCAAAAGATGCATGCTCATCAGCCTTGCATGCAAACATCACTGGAACATCAGGGTTGAAAGCCTCCTCCTTCACAGGGTCTTCTTCAATCTGCTCCACGACCTGCACTTTTTGACTGGATTCAGAGTGCTTGAAAACATCTGAGGGTGTAAGGGAAGTCACACTTCTGTGTGCAGCATTCTTCGCAGCAGCCTTGGCCTTTTTTGGCCCATCGCGCACCAACTTCAATGCCTTGGTGATATCCCCTGTGGCAGACTTGCACGCAGAAACCAACTCAACAATCGGGGATCTTGCATCTGCCGCCTCTTTCTTGACTCTCTCTATGCCTTCAAGATCTGAACAATCCAGAACCCGGCCAGCAGTGCTCTTGCAAGCTTCAAACGTGATCAACTTCTGGTAGCTCTGGCATGGGGCAGCTAAACCCAAACAGATGCTGGGGTCTGCTGCAGTACCAGTGCTGCTGCGGGCAGACGACAAAGCTTTGGACGCAATGCTTCTGATGTGGGTCTGCAAGGCCTCTTCACTGCCGTACAGCTTCTGCAAACATTCCAGCCTGGCTTGCCCAATCACCTCTTCTCCCTTCAAAGACTCTTGCTGGTTCGTGGGCAAGGCTGCAACTTCAGCCAAAACTTTCTCAAGCTGCTCTTTCACAGCTGAGGCCTTGGTCTGGACCTGTGACAGCGCAGTGCTCATCTGTCTCTGCGCCTTGTTGACTTCTCTGTCTCGGTCAAACCATTTTTTTTTGGACTTCTTCTCTGTGGTATCCTCCTCCCCTTCCTCATCTTTCTCTTCAGCGTCTTCCTCCGCTTCGTCTTGCGCATCTTCATCAGGCACAAGCAACGACACATCGTTGAGGGTAATGCTGATTCCATCCATGTTGTCGGAGCTGACAAAAGACCTGGCAGCCTCCGACTCTGAAACTCCGCCTTGAATCTTGTCATGGTTCACCATGAGGGACTTGGACATTTTCTCCACATCCTCTGCAGTCGCCTTCTTTGTTTGCTGTCCATGCATGACAACCTTCCTCAGGAGCAGTGGCGTCACAGAGGGAAGGCTGTTGGTAGGCCCTGTGGCTGGATGTGTCAAATGTGAGATTTGAAACGATTAAGCTGTGAATTTATCAGAAGCCAAAAGAAAGAACATCATGGCCAAGTATATAAGTAGTGAAACAATTTCCTGCAATATGTTTTACACCTGCAATCATCGCCTCACAAATAAAATCTATTGCTCATGCCCACAGAAGCAAATTCCCTGGGTCCTCGCTGGGAAACCACCGACAACATGTGGTGAAAGATTTGGTGGGAGGCCCAGTATTGACTTTCCCCAACAAAGAAACATTACCCTGTCTTCAAATTGAGACAAAGCTCTTCTCCTTTGCAACTCTTTTGACGTCATCCACCAAATCCTCTGTGTGGATTCGTAGCCTCAAGCTTGCTTTCGCAGGGCCCTTGTGATCATGGGGGATGCCCAAGGCTTCATACGTAGCAACAAGCTCATCCCACTTGCTTGCTGCCTCTTGCTTGGTGAGGGCCCCTCCATCTGTGCTGCGCCAGAACTCAATGGCTTGATCCTGCCACATCATTTTGCCACGAGAGGTGCCAACAGTTTCAGTGCTGGCACGCACCTCCTCTATATACTCAGCAAGATTCCAAGTGGACTTCTTCTGCCCAGCTTTCTCAGCCTCTTGAGAAGCCTGACGGTAGCTGGTGACGAGACTTCTCAACTTCTTCGGGTCAGCCTTGACATTCTTGAACCATTCAACCTTACCTTGTTGACGTGCCTTCTTGGAAATCACATCTAAAGCCTTCTTGCAGTCTTTGTCCACAGTCTGGTTCAATGCAAAATCAGACAAAGGTCGGCTCTTCTGGCAAGCTCTGCAAGTCTTGGCACCCTTCTTGGTAGTCTCAACTTTGTGTCGCCCCTTAAACTTAGACTCTGCTGAATCAGGTTCCTTTCCGCTTGTCCATTTCTGTGGTGTGTCCTGTTGGTCTGATATAGAAACGTCCTCATCGTCTATGTCAGGAGCGAAAGAAGCCATCAAGAGGCACGACAGCCTGAGCCTGTTTCACTAACAGGCCGACAAGGATCACAAAATGGTTCACACCCTGCCACAGTGAGCCAACAACAAGACTGCAAACATAAAGGCTTGAGATTTGCACGGAACAGCTCAACTCTTGGAAACAAACTGCCAGCAAACATCACACAAGAAGACAATGAAGTTCGCGCTGGAAATCACGGCATTCAAACGCTTCAAAAATGTTTGCGCGCTGTCTGACATGGAACAAAAAATAGCTCAAGGTCGGAAGAAGCATGGTGGCTTTCGGAACTGAATGAAACTACCAGATGCAAGCTATGCCGCTATGCACAGATTCACTGAAGAGTCAGCACACCGTGGGTTTGTTACAGCTTGTCCTTTTTGTTTTCGCCTGATTATTGCAATCCGAAAAGCGCTACACTGCTAAAAATCGATGGCCAGAAGGCCAAAAGTGGACCTATCACAGGATCGGGGTCTAGCAGCCAGCTAAGAGAACTTCAACTTGCCTTGAAAGCCACGACTGAACTAGCTATCCAACCTGCTGTTCTGCATGGGCCATGTGGCTTTGAAGCCCAGTTGGAAAGCCAACAGATGACCAACCCCAAGGGCGAGTATCAAATCTCTATTGCAGGTTTTCCGTTGTAATGTTATATAATGCTAAAGCTGCTAAAGTAATTGAGTTACAAGTTGTTTACTCCATCCGTCTACAAAAGTGTTACCTCTTTCAAGTTCACAATTCTTTGTGAATCTGATACATTAGCAGCTCCAAGCGTCCACACCTATCAAGCTCTGAAAACAAATCCATACCCATAGTTTCCAATTTTTTTCGGCATCTTCTCTCCAAACAAAGCTATGAAATGAAAGCTCACCCCCTCAAGAAGCCTGGCTTGACAGCTTCGTCCTGTGCGCACTGCCTGTTGCAGTCAAACCTGCCAAACTTTACTCTTTGTGTTGTTTCCGAAAGCGTGCGCATGCAGAAAAAGCATATCTTGATATTTATATACGATAACGGAGTAATTTTAAAGTGCAACCCCTGCCTAAGCAAGAAACCAAGGCGCAAACTGCTCCTTTCCATTCTTTTTGCTCTGCATCTTACAAATTTGAATGGGTCTGCCAAGTCATGCGGTGGCCCCCCCCAAGTCACTACTTCCTACTATCTTCCTACACCCAATGCGTGCTGCAGTCCACATAAAAACACAATAATGCTTACTTTGCTCGACCTTGCTCGACCTTGCTCGACCTCTGCTCGACCTTGCTCGACCTTGCTCGACCTCTGCTCGACCTTGCTCGACCTCTCCTCGACCTTTGTTTTGCCATTGTAAAGCTGTGTTCGACCACCTCCAGTGCCTAATTCCTCCTGGGGGTGCCCACCTAGTCGTGTTGTAAGCTTGTCCAAGTCTATGCAATAACAAGTCAAAAAACTGATCAAAAACTACCTGTTACAGGCTTAGAAGCTTGAACTCGAGACCTGCTTGGTTTGAAGCTTGCCTGTGGCAGCAGAACGGTTTGACGCATTTCTCTTTATCTTCATCCCCATTCCCCATGAACCCCTCTGCAACCCTTGTGCCACGAACTCGCATTTCCAGTCTAAATCCCCAGCCACTCATCTACGCTTTACAAGTATTACGCTGAAAGATCAACGGGAAGAATCTAACTCTTGGGAACCATCAGAATTGGAAGCTTGCAAGATCAACAACAAAGAGCTTTCCAAACACACATGTCTAAAAAGCAAGAATCATGCATTGGTTCTCTGTCATCCACGATCTTAGAACTGCAAAACATCAAGCCATCATGCAAAATACTGCGTTTCTGATGTTGGGACATTCTTTCTCTGCCAAGTGCCACAAGACAAAATGCATCTTGCAAAGAAGTGTGCTTGCAGCTAGCTGCATCTATTTTGCATGTTTTGCATCCTGGAAATGTTGACGAAATTCGTGTGAAACAACTTGCCACAAAACGGAAATCAATCACTGCTTGAATCGCTGTTGGAAGAATCATCGCTGCTACTACTCTGAGATGAAGTGCTGCATGACGACGCGGAGCTTTCTGCACCGTCTCCAGCACCAATGGCATCAGCTGAGTGAGAAGAGTTTGACCCGCCATGCCTGGCAAAGCGACAAGGGAGAGACCTTTCTTTCATAAGACTGAGTTTATATAATGACTTGTATTCAACGTTCTGGAAAATTATGGTTTCACAATTTGAAAATCTGCAGCTTTCACAAATGATCATCTTAAAGCTATGCCATGAAATCTCACAACTTGTTTCATGTCTTTGGAAAAGAAACCATTCCACAATATGGCTTCGTACCTTGAGGGCGAAGTGTTGAGCACAACGGTATTTTGGCAAACTTGAGTAGGGATATATATATATATATAGATATAGTTATATGATGTATGGGAATGTCTCAAAATAGGAGTGCCCCAAGTGGGGGCCCCAAGCTCACTTTTTTTAACAAAAAAAAGGGTTTGGGGCCCCTTGGGGCGCTCAGTTATGGCACCCCCTATTCTGAGATAGCAGTATGGTGATGGGATTTATGTGTTGGGAAAGTCTATTTCCAATACAATGTTACATACTGATTATTTTTCAAAGGCTTTACTCGGGGCAAGTTGTATGTGTATTTGGTGGATGCGTTGGAAGAGGGCAAGTGTATGATATCTATCTATCTATTTTCAATCGGAACATGTTTCTTGGTGGGCTTGCCTTTTGAAAATTAAAAACGAGCGACTGTCTGGTTGTCACATGAATTGCTGAAAGCAGAAGTCTGAAAAGAAAACAAATTTGTCTTTCGGGAAAAGGCCCCACCTCCCTCGCCCACGACCACGTCCACGCCGCTTCGCGACAGCTTTGGCCTTGCCACGGCCACGGCCCTTAGCTTTGGGAGCAACAGCTGGAGCTGGCGCCCCCCCATCAGCAACTGCTCCTGCTTCTGCATCTAGCACATCATCACCCTGAACAGCCCCAGCTGGCCCTACAACAATACAACCGGCAGCAACAACTTCTTCAGCAGGAGCTGCATCAATCGACACATGGTGTTGAAGGTGAAGTCTCTGACGGTTATACCTAGAGGCGCTGTTGCACCACATCTTCAATGCACGAACACATTTGGAAAATTCCTCAGGGTCAGCGGAACGGAGTTGCAAATATTTCTTGCAATCTGTCCTGTTGTTCTTTTTGTGAAAAGGACATCTTGCTTCCACACCACCAAACTTTCGACCAGCTTTCTCGGATGGCTGCTTGACAGTAAGCCTGAAAACACCAAAGTTTGCTGGCTTCCCCAAGCGGGGTTGGGACCCCTCATCTTCTACGGGCGCAGCATCTAGAGCTGCTGCAGCTTCATCTACTGCGTCATCCATGGGCGAATGCAAAGACTGCGCATCAACTACTGGGCTATTAATGGGAGGTGAAGCTGAGTGCCCTTCACTACGGTCAGCATCATCAGATTGGTTTACTGGGCTATCAATGGGAGGCGAAGCTGAGTACCCTTCACTACGGTCAGCATCATCAGATTGGTTTGATCTAGGCATATCTTCATCAAGCAAATCCAACAAGCCGTCTATGGAATCGGTGGGATCATGACCAGCATGGTCCCCTTCCTGCAATGAGAGGTGAGCTACGGCTTGCCCAGGCTCAGCCACTGCAACATCTTGAAGCGCTTCAACCGGAATGTCGGGTTCCAATGCTGGCATCGGCACTGCACGGCCAGGTTGTGGTCCCTCCCCTTTCAAAAGGGCAGGGTAAATCTCACCAGGCTTTTCAACCCAGTGGGGAATGCGGGCCAAACCTTTCTCAAACAAATCATCCGACAAAAGCAAGCACTGCAAGTAAGCTTTGCTAACAGAGTGGGATTGGCTGTACCAAACAAGTTCCTTCCCAGGCTCATGACACAACGCTTCACGGGCATTTTTCTTTGAAGGCATTTTTTTCCAAGACCATCCATTTTGCTCCAGGGCAAGAATCAATTCCATGAGGTCATATTGAGAAATATCACTGTTACGAAGGCTGCAAACTTGCTTCGGTTCGTGGAGAGGGCACATGACACGAACCTGTGGCAAAGCACACTCGGACATCAATATCCGATCTGATTGCCCGCTCCTGCAAACAAGGCCTCTGTCGATCAAAGACATGATTAAATCTGTCGGGAAAGTTGAAACGGCAGTTGGTTCCCCACCTGGAAGAGCGCGGGCATTCAGCAAATGAGTGACGCATTCAACCAAATCACTTTGTCTGATGTTTGGCAATCCTGGCAGAGAGTATCTCACATCTCGCGATGTACTTGCACATGTAAACTGAGTCCTTAAAACATTGAGAGGACAAGACTCCAGCGACGTCAAAATGTGTGGGACATCTTGGGTTGCTATGTCTATTTGTGGCACGCCTTCAGCATTGTAAACGCATTTGTGCACAGCAATCATAACTGCATCTTTGGCAAAAACTGGCGTGCTAGCAACTGGTCGCAACATGGATTTCATCCGTGCAGGAAAACCATGCAAGAGTCGGAAATGCAACTCTTCCCTTCCATGGTCAGCACCTTCAGCCATCTCAACAATTTCTAGAGGCTCTTCGTCAGCACCCCTCAGACACAAGCGTTTCTCTGCAGGACCTAAGAATGGTGCTACTTCGTAGCCAGCACTGTCATCTACCAGCACAGGCAGTGTGAAGAAAACATCTGAACCAGCCATTGCACGAAAATGGTCAACTATAGCACGCTTGAAAATATCTTCGTATGTTCTAGGAACTGATAATTTGGTGTCATGAAGTTTCTCGGCCTCCGCTTCTAAGACTTTCCGCTTTCGAAAATGGGTGGACCGTGCTTCATGCATGTCAGAAAATTGAGTTTCCAAGTCACACCTGTGCACAGCCCTAACCAAAGCCGCCAGCCACACACAAACATCGGTACAACCATCTCGCAGCAACGGCAGAAATATTGGATGGCTCAGCAAACCCAAGGCTGCAGCAGCCTTCTTTGGCTGCCGCGTCAAATCAAAACAAGTCTGCAGTCGGGCTGGAAACCCTTCCTCAAAACTGGAAAGATCCAAAATCTCACGCATTCGAAAAGACAAGCTCACCTTGGTGGGCCCCAGCCGTATGTGTTTTGCAGCAACCTTCACATCACGATGAAGTGCCTCCACACATCGCTCCACCACAGGAATAAACCGCAGCGAAGCTACAGCAAACATCAACTGGTCAGTCATACAACCACCATTTGCAAAACGTTGCAAATCTTCACGCATCCCAGTTTCTGACAGGAAGCGCACAGACAAGGGATGGTGATGTTCTAAAGTCATTCCTGGCTTGGACATAGAAGCATCAAACTCTTCAAGGCAATCTTGGGCAATCCTCCGCGCCACTGATGGCCAGTGGTGGCTTAAGCCAGCCAAGCGCCATGGAATTTGCCGCCAAAAACCAAACTTCGCCACGAGAACAACATGCAAATGTTGCTTTGCAAAATCAAAATCTTGCATCAGCACTGCTCTGTCAGCTGGTGTAATCCGGAAATCCATTTGATCAGAGAACAGATTCAAAGCAGCAGTGGAAAGTTCAGCAATAGTATCTTCAAGTTTGCCTGCTGCCAGCTCAGGGGCACGCTTACCTCTCATGGGGCAATCCACAAAGCGGACTGCACCACCAAACAACTGCCCCCTCTTCTTTCTCTGCCGTTTGCTGGACAATGTTGTAAACAAGTGCTCGTGGCAAGCACAATTCTCAAGCCAACGCTCGAGGTTGAGCAAAATGTTTTGCACACCATCAACCATGAAAACATAGCTACAAAACATCGGGTCAGCCAGAGCTACATCGAATGAAGCTCCAACATCACCTTCTGCATCCTTCCCGTCAATGAGAAAATCTTGAAGGTTCCAAACCCTTTTCAACAAGCGAAAATGGGGCAACAAATTCTTCAAAAATTTTGCAACCACCTGCCAGCGCTTTTCATACAGAGCTGGCAAAGACAGGGATGCAAACAGGTGTTCATGTTCTGCAGAGGCAGTCCCACGAACTAAGCGGGCAATGATCCGCTCGCGTAGATGCTGGGGCACAAGCAATGCTGCAACAGCTTTCAGGTGGTCCCAAAACTTGTCAAACCACAACATTTTGGTCCTCAGGTCTTGTCTGGCATTGTGAGTAATGTGCAGCCCACCAGGTGTCAGCAGTGCCTTAGGCATGATGGGAAAAGCATCAGCATCACCCACTGTCTCCTGATCTTCATCTGCAAGGTCGCTCTCCAAAGTTTGGTGGACATAGGTTGGCAATATTGAGTCCAAGTGCTTGGCTTGAAACTGTGGAAGCTGTGCCTCTACCCCTAAGTCTGTGGTCCAAGAAACAACGTTGTCAAGGTGGCATCGCAAGCCTACTCTGCTACTGCACTCCAAACTCATAGCATGCAAAAGGCATGAGGTCTTATCCTCCACCGAAACCTTCCCTGAACCTAGAGCAACCGGAATGCATTTGTGGGTATGAATGGCATCCAACAGGACCGTGTGCAAACGAGGTTGTTGTTCCACATCTGCATCCTCAGCCTCAAAATGATCGCTGAGGTCAGGACGACACCTTGTCAACATGTTTGCAGCATTGCAAGCGTTCACCACAGCATCCATGCAAACAGAAGTATGCATGAGCATGAACCATTCCCTGCCACACTGAGGAGATGAGTCTGCCCAAGCATAATGAAGACACGGTACATTGCACCACCTCTCTCGACACTCGAGCAAGAATGCAAAATCCAAAGCAGACCCTGCACGGCCAATCGTTGAAGCTTTTGGGAATGAAGCATTTCGTAGCAGATTTGAAAGGTCAACACCTGGCAAAGCAACTTGCAAAGACAATGGAACCACATTGCAAACATGTTCATTGGAACCAAGCAAATTTCCAAGGCAGGCTGCGCTGATCAAGGTTTGGCTCGGGTACTGCACATGTCCACTTGTTTTCGTTTCCAAACAGCGCTGACCCCTCTCCAGAAAAGAAATGGTGTCCAAAATGTCCATTCTTAAAGCCCTGCTCTCATCTTCATCATTGCAGTGGGCCAAAATAGCCGGTGCCCAACTTCTCACACGGTCAGCAAGAATGGAAAACTTTTGAGGATCAAGAAAGAATCGCCCTTCTTGTGGCATTGGGACTTCATCAGGTGGCAACCCCCCATTTTCGATTCCAGGAAAAAGAGGTCTTGGTAATGCCCATGATTTCCGGAAACAGAAAGAAAACCAAAAACCCTTCAATAGAAGCGTTGCAAGTGGCTCAATGAGAGGCAAAGCAATGGCATCTTGACCCTGAAACCCCCAACGCTGCTGTGCAAGACGTGCAGGCCCCTTGGACAAAACTGTCTTCCCAGTGCAAAGTTCACCTGTGACATCCCAAAGCTCTTTGAGGGAGATCCCATACGGAAGAAATGGTGACAAGGCATTCCTTCTACGTTGCAGTGGGTACGTTTCTGATGATGGGGCGGCAATGCAAGTCATCACTGGAATCGGCGTGTCAAATCGGAAAACTTCTTTTGAAACCACAGTAAACCCATCTGCAGCATCTCTCCAAAATGCTTGCCACACAAACAATTCTTCCCTATGTGAATATTGCCGGATGACATCTCCAACCGCAATGCCTGGAACGGCTTGCACCAAACCACTCAAAACATAAGTTGGTGACTGTGAATGTGAATCTCTTTGCTTTGGCCTCGGAATCCCACACTGATCCAATGCGGCCTGCAGGTATGGGTGGTCTGGCAAAGTGCACCTTTGCCTTCCATTCTCATCACTTTGCACCCGTGCAGTATGGTTTGCAACAGAACACAAGAAAAAAAACATTTGCCATGGCCAGGACCGGCCGCATCGCGTCAAGAGGAGTATCTGAAAAACAATGCCATTGTTTCATCTTGGATGCTAATCCATAAATTATTGTTTGCAGCCAGTTTGCTAGGAATTGATGAAAACTTGTTTGAAAAAATGTTCGGAAATCAAACCAAATCAATGAAAATTGAAGCCACATTATCTGTGTCGCAACGGGCATTGAAAAGCCCAGCTTGCTTGCTTTGCTGAAAACTGCAACGGCGAACCAAATTTCCGCCACCTTGCCAAACAGCAATCTTCAAGTCTCCAAGTCACCAACCATGTGACTGCCTGACCTCTAGAAACAAAACACCCTACATCTGCATACCACCAAAATATTTCCAAAATTGCACATGAGCAAACTGGATTCCATAACAGCATGTGATTCTTCACTGGGACATCTGTGCAACGCTTTACCAAAGTGAATCAACCCCTCAGGCATGAAAACGATTCAAATCACAAAAAAACATATTAGACAGCTGCCGATATCCAGTTCGAAATTTGTAGCAAACAGGAAATCTGAGAGTTGCAGCGTTGTAAATTTCCCCTTGGTTTAGACCTTGCCAAATGGACCCCCCCAAGTCTGGGAAAATCGCATTATTTCCTGTGTTTTGGCGCCAATTTTTGGGACTTGGTGGGGTCCATTTTGGGGGGGCCCACCCACGGGAAATTTGGTATTGCAGCGTAAACACAACACACACAAATTTGTATTTCATGGAAGGTTCCAACGGTTGTTGCCTGGCTAGGTTAGACATACTGTTTTTGCTCCACGCTTTAAAACTGGGTGCAAACATACTGCGCCCAGCGCTGGCTAGGCAACAACTAAAAATATCACATCGCGTTCACACTTAGCGCGAAATGCGGACACGAAAATGTCAGAACTCCTAGGTCTGCCCCTTTCACTCCAAGGACCCCTTTCAAAGGAAATTGTGTTAATTTGCATCATTTCTGAAACAGACATGCTAGTGGGACCTGTTTTAAATCCAATCCATTGCTTCCGGCTTCATGAACTCTTGAATGTCGTTTGGCTTACCATGAAAATCTTAGCGGGGCTGTTTGTCTGCCATGCATTCTCGCTTCTGGATTCTGGAATTCGTTATACGTGACAAAGCGTATCAGAAATTAAAACCAGAACCATGCTACTTCAAACCTGGGTCAATTTTTTTCTTATTCGCGAAACCCCAAAAAACAAACAGTTTCCTAGAAGAAAAAACTTTTTCTCCTTGAGCCTAAGCCCCGTCAGGGGTTCAGAATTTGGTCACTTTCATACTTGCGAGGCAACCTCACAAAGTGCTTCATTGCAATACGGGCCCTCTACCAGCATGACCCATCCTCCACGCTAGCAGAAGCAGCAAAGGGAGGCACACCAGCACCCCGGCTCTGGGAACACTTTTTAAATCGGGCTCAATTGCACGAATGGCAAAGCACATTGCCAGCAAATTGTCAAGAAGTGTCCTTCACATTCTAGAAGCCAGCAGAGGGCAACTATCAGAGACCTAGACGAAAGTTTATAGTTGCCATGTGAGTACGCTGGTGGAGTTGTTGAACGTGTAGGCAATCCCATCGCCAGTCGTGTATTGACTGCCATGCGCATCAACTGTCTCATAGTAGGCTCATTGTCAGCCATGAAAGTGAGGTCAGTGTGTCCAAGGAGCTGGCTGAAAGTGATCAGCTCTCTCACCATCAAGTCAAACTGGTTCTTGTGCTTGATTGGAGTACAGTGGATATACCCCGTTTGGGAACACACCATGACCAAACACACCAAAGATTTCACATCTTGAGGCTGTTTGCCCTCAGGAACGCTCTTTGTATAGCAGAAGTCAAAGGAAATTGTAGGAACAGCACTTGCATGTGTGCTATCATCTCTCATATGTCGATCTGCTCGAGCCCTGAAAGCAACGCAAGAAGAGCACCAAGGTTCATAGGGAACATGCGTGAGGAAATGCTTGTCTTGGTCTTTCTGAGAAGGAAGTTCGGCTAGTGGTGGTGCTTGAGCATCACGTTGCATCATACCCTCTGCATGTCTGGCTGCAGAGTGCACTGCTTCCAGTTCCATCTTCTTTTGGTGATTGATCAACTTGTTGAAGCATTTGACTTTTCCACCTGAAGTTGAAAGTCCATAAAAAGTCAGTGCCTGTCGAAGCAACGCAAGAGTGCTCAGAGATGTCAGCTCCACACCATTCACCGTGATTTTGTCCTCTGGGGCAGGCGCAATCATGATTTTCTCCTGTATGTCAACGCCTTGAGGACCAACTGCAGCATCACCTCGGTCAATGTCTTGACCTTCAATTTCAGCATCATCCTCTGGTGCTAGGATTTCAACGTCGATCTGTTCTCCATCAGCTTCAGCTTGTCCTTGAAGTTCATTCTCATCTCCTTCCAAAGCAAAACCCATTAAGTGAATCTTTTTCCGCATCAGTAAGGATGGTGATCACATCTCGGCTACCTTCCAGTTCATAGAAGGATGCTCCTGGGTCGACAATGGACTCCAGAGGTTCACATAGTTCCAACACAAACCAAGCATCACCGTTCTTGACCAAAGTTGTCCTGTAGCGCTGTCCAGAAATGTCAGGACGCACCAATGTTGGGTCCATGTAGTGGTCACTGTAATGGCGTCCAACTCCTGTGCCATCATCATTCAAAGACCACCCAATTGCACCTCTGTCCATACCACCAAACACGTCAGCTCGAACAGCATTGATGAAGTTGGAGATGGGTTGTTCCTCCTCTGAAAATCCAATTGTTCTGATCCAGCCTTGAACCACCATGGATTGATTCTGAAGCTCAATGGGAATGCGTGTGTCAGTTGGTGCATGGTATAGTGATTGCTCAACACCACAAACACCCCAACCTGACTGTAGAAGCTTCCCAAAACTGATGATGGGTTGATGAACTTGCGCTGAAATAGCTCCATGTTCACGTATGGTCACCAAGCGTCCATGTTGATCCAGCAATGAAATCTCGACATCCCTCATAGCAACAACAAGGATTTCTCTCCCTTGTGCATCATGCAGCTTCAGCTTGGCTGCTGTAGAAGAAATTCCAGCCTGAGCATACCGCAGTGGCAAGACTGTTGCATCAGCTCCACTGTCGAGCAGTATTGATTGCATGTCCTCACTGCCATCAGGAATTGCTTCCACAACTGCATGAACATGACCAGTGGAAAAACCATCGTCATCATCACCAATATAAAACTGTTGAACCACCTTGACTGAACCTGTAGGGCTTGTTGGGACTGAACGCAAATCAAAAACACGTGGAGAGTCATCAAAGTTGTCACCTGCAATGCGCGCTACTCTGTACTGTGTTGACTGCTGACCAGATTGCTGTGCAGGTTGCTGCACTGGTTGAGCCTGTTGGCCTTGTCCCTGATTGTTGGAGTTCTCCACAACCTGACCAGTCTGAGCAGAACGCACAACATTCCAACAGTCTTTGGCGTAGTGTCCAGGAGCGCCACATTGATAGCAGACCTTTTGGTCTCCTTTCCCTTTTCCTTTGCCATATCCAGTGTTCTGTTTGCCTTTCCCTTTGCCCTTGTTGTTGTTGTCATAGTTCTTGGACTTGCCATCTTTGCCATTACCTTTCCAAGAGCCTTTAGACCCTTTCTGCTTTCCTTTCTGTGCTCCTTTGTCTCCTTTGCCTTTCTGATTCTTGCCCTTGCCTTTGTGCTGGTTCCAACCGCCTTTGCCTCCATCCACACGGTCAATCTCCATGGGAGTTGCTTCACTGAACTCCTCACCAAGCCAACTTGTCCATTTGGCCTGAGCTCTGTCCCACTTCAGGATCTGCTCTCTGACATCAGCGTATTTGCAACCATCACTCAAAGACAAGTTCAGATGTGTCTTCAGCTGTCCTTGAACGCATCGTAGAACAACTGCTGTGCGCAAACTGTCTGGCAACTCTGTACCAGCCTTCACTGTTTCTTCAAACGCTTGTTCCAACCTCAACACCTGTGGCAAAAGAGGTTTCTGCATAGAGAAGGGTGTCCATGTTGTCACCGCACTCAACAACGCTAGTCCTCTGTTCTGCACTGGGGGCCTCATAGCCAGAATTAACTGTCGAAGACCCTCATAGCCGTCACCTGAAGGTGCTGATTTCAGAATATGCAAGCATCGATTTTTCATGAGTCCAGCCAACAAAGAGTACAGTTTGCTTGAACGACCACGAGTTTCTGCACTTGCTGTGTTCATGTCCAGAGGTTTGCCAGGATCACTGTTGAGCTGTTGCAGCTCAGATTGGAAGCCTTCATCGATGGCCACCAGATATTGCTGCAACTGCCAATGCCAATCCTT